CGAGCGCTTTTCAGGAACATCCGCGCAAGATATATTTTTTCTGTCATGATAAAAAATCACGCGTGCAAATCTTACTTGATCTTATATTTTACGAAGATAAATCATTTTTGTTTGATTTAATCATTTTTATTAAAGCTTCCAGTTTGCATTATTATAAAAATTCTTTAGTTATTAACATTACTATTATTAAAAGATCGGCAAAAAAGATTTGAAGAGATGTCAGAGTAAAATATCATTTTTAAAATAAAATTACAGACTAAGAAAATTAAATAATGATATGATATAAATAAATCCTTTAAATAAAGAAGTATAAGAAGTATGCTATCTGTTTATGACCATTTTCTTAATACATCTTAGCCATCCAATTAATTACTGAAGGAGAAAAATTGGAAAAGATAACAGTTAGTAAAGACAATGAAGAAAATATTAAATATTATTATAAGAAAGGAAGAAAAGATTCATTCGCTGTATAACTTGAATAAAAGAGGATAGTCAGAAGCAAAAGCATCCGCGTGCTTGAGCTTAACGTTTAGATAACCATAGTAATAGCATTAAAAATTTTATATCATCGAACCTTTTATCTCTTTCTAACAGGATTCATCCCTACTTAAGAGAATTTTTTCTACAACAACGCTGCAATGCATTATAATGTACCAAGAAATGGTGTCACTATTTTGCATAAATTCACGTTTATTTTTTTAAATTTAAATTTACATCTTTCATATAATTCTTATATATTTTATATTAATGCTCTCTTACAAAATGTTGATGAATTCTTGATAATGGAAGACAAATATTATATACTTTCGATAAAGCCATATATTTTCGATAAAGTAAACAAACAATAGAATATATCATAAAAATTTATAAATTCTACAAAATTATTGTTTTTTATAATATTAAATATATCATTTTTTATGAAATTAAATAATATATGATAATATTTAAAAAATTTAATTTTGGAGAGAAATTAATTATTATTAATGGCTTCCAAAAGCAATACTCTTAATTTTTCTAACGCGCGTAATATGTTAATATGAAATGAGAACCGTCAAGTTTTTATCTTTATTATTGCCTAATTATTAGTCAATATATATATTAACGAAATTTTTCAACACATGAGCAATTATAGGAAGTAATGCATTTAATTCAATAAAATATATAGATAAATTTGATAATAAGTCAATACAAAATAAAAATAAAAAAAAATAATAATAATAATATTAATAGCAATAACAATATATGTATATATATAAATATATATATATATATATATATATATATATTTAAAAAATTTAAATCAAATAAAATTTTATAAAAAAAGAAGTAAAATTTTATAATTTATAAAACTTGCAAAAATTTATACTCTTAAATGATAATTTAAATTCTTACTCTATTTTTCTACTCTTTATTTACGATATTAGGATAAAAAATAATAATAATTGTTATTATTATAATTTTATATAAATTATTAATAACAAAATATGATGCAATATTATTTTTTATCGTATAACATTACAAGAGAAATCATGAAAATATTATCTCTCGTTTCAAAAATTCTCTTCTATTTATCATGTCACATAATTGAATTTAATATTATTTAGTCTGTAATAATCTATCATAAAATCATTATAATTTTTTATTCAACGTTACGACAAACTTCACTAGCAAGTACATTCCTCTCATGTTGCATCGATGAAACGAAATTACGTGAGTCCTATCGGCTAGTAATTAATTATCGCTCGAGCACATAGTAATGAAATTTCACGACTCCCGATGGACGAGAGCGTCAGGTCAGTAGAAATAAAATTGTTGTAAAGTGATGCGGTTATGTCAAGACTTGCTGGGTAGTGCTGGAAAGATACCATTAGTCTGACATGGAAAATATATTATTACGAAGAATACAATAATTACATATTCTAAGAAATATTTATAATTCATAGTTTTCAACTGAGCCAGTAAAAAGTTTTTTTCGTCATTTTTACGTAAAACGTTGATTTATATAATGTTTTTAAAGACTAAAAAAGAAAGTCTAAATTTTATATATAAATACACATACAAATAGCTATGAATGACAAAAAATATTCTATATTTAATCTTCAGTTAAGATAAAATTTCAATTGTTCTATTAGACTTATCGATACTATAATTAATAAATATTTCGATGAATTCATATTCAATTCATCTAGCGAAGAAAATAAAAGTTTTTTCAAATATATTTATTTTAAACAAACAATAAATGTAACAAAGCTCATCAAATTAGAAGAAAAATGCAAATTGCAATATAAGAAAAATTACTGAATACTAATTACTACATATTCATAAACTCATCGTCAGGTATTATTATTTCATAAAAATATATTTAAATTATTGGAAATGATAATAAGTTTTTAATTGTGTCACGAAGTTTCTATATAACTTGCGAAATTATTTTCTCTCTAAAATTAAATATAGACTTAACTATTGCGATAATTATAAAGCTCTCTATATTTTAACAATTTGATTTCTTCGTTTTTAATCAAAAAAGAAAAAGGTTAAATTGATAGTTTTTCTATTGCTCTATTTAAACCGCGAAGATATCATGCATTTAATATTAGCGCTGAAAAGACTCATTAAAAAACAATTGCAACATAAAAGGTATTTCAAAATTATCGCTTCAAAATAAATAGCTGTTTACGAGTATAATAACGAACAATGGCAAAGTTGTGGAAAATACAAGTTGCAAATTTATGAATTTGAAATTCATGTACGATGAAACAGTATTTTGATTGCTTATATACAGCATGCATTGCTGCAATTGATATCCTACAAACATGTACATAACAATATACATAATTTATATAAAGTAATGAAAAGAATATTTGCAACAAATTCTACGTCAACTTATTAATTACTGATTATCGCAGATATACATGCGTATATTTATGAATTTTGATTAAATATTTTATAAATATTCTCTGTCTTCCTCTCTTTCTCTTTCTCTTATGAATTAAACTATAAACAATATAATATTTTTCTCATTAAATATACATACGCGAAAACAAACAATCAATGGAAAATTTTTAATAATAATGGAAATATATTCTAAAAATAATATAAATTTCTCTCATAAATTCAAATATTTTAATAAGATAACATAGAACTGGAATATTTTAGAGAAAAATGGCAGTATTGCAAGGATTAAATCATTTAGTCGTATACTCGATTATGCATAATCGATATTACATCGTGATTCTGTAAAAGCGGAACTTTATAATTAGCAAATGTCACTCGTGTATCAAGATGAACCTTTAATATCCGTTGGAGCGCAGTATTCTTAGAACGTCGATTAAACTCACCTCGGTTTAGATTCTTCGTTCAATATTACGCCTATTCATCTGCTTATAAAAGCCTTATGAACCGCGAGATATTTTATACTTTATAAATCGTTAGAAAAATTGGTAATCTGCAAATCCTATATTCATATTTTGAACAATATATGAGTATAAAAATAAATCTGTTCAATGTATGCATATTTTGAGAGAAACAAAAAAGACTTTTATAGAAATAAAAAACTGCAATATAAGATTTTTTAAGATAAATATCTCTATATCTGTTTTAAAAAAGATTTCTTATTTTACATATTGTACTAATACAATAATTGTATAATAAACTCTTTTTAATTTTACTTGAACAAAATTGTTTATTCTCTTAACTCGAATCGATAAATATATCTATACGTGTGTGAAGCTGACATAATATTTTATTTGTTAATGAAAACCTATTTTTTTATTTTAATGTATATGCTCTCTCTTTATTAGTATGTTATAATTATATATTTATTTAAATTATCAGAAATTATAGAATTATTAGAAATAAAGCTATAATTTTCAATAATTTGGGTTTTAATTAATGCGCCAGTCATCTGCACTCATCTGATAAAATATATGTCATGCAAATAAATTCCCAAGATGTTACCATTCTATAAATGTATTATTTATCGAGTGGAATTATAATCTTATGGAAACATACTTAGGAATCAAACGATCTCCATATAATCGAAGCTATAAACCGAATATACGAACCGTTAAATTCAACGATTAACAATAAATTCAATTTCTTCTGCATTATCCGTTCTATATTATGAGTTTTAGGGAAACAAACTCTGGATTGTAACATTAAACTAGATATATATAACTAAATATACGTTTAAATTATAAAAAACAAATTTTTTGGAAAAATAGGTAGAAAAAATTAAAAATCTTTTTATACTAGATAAAAAAATTGATAACTTTTTTGTAAAAATTGTTATATTACTAGAGTGTTATAGATTTAAATAAAACTACATTTTATAATACTATACTTCAATGATCGAAAAATATTCTGATAGATACGGAAATGAGAAAGCAATGTATAAAATGTAAGACACAATTATACTCGATGTCTGGATGAGAAGTTGAATTACAAAAAAAAGTGGAAATTTGTCCAGTTCACTAAATTGATTCGCATAATTTTATTGTTACGGACGGAAAAGAAACATAGATCTGTGCAAAGCAGAGCACCAATCGGAAAACCAGTTTTTCTCAATACGCAAATTCCTGTCATCATGGATTGTTTCGATTTCAAATGTGATATACGGACGTTCTATTTTTCGCGCATATATTCGCTATTTTTCAGTGACCTGATTCCCAATTGACTATCAAAAAGAAAAAAAATTGCCTGGCTCACAGTTTGCATGAAGCTGTAAACTGATTTATTTTGGCAATACAATCTGTTCTAAAAAAAAATTATTGTTGAAAAGCTTTTGACGATACTGACTTTTACTGAAAGGAGGCAAATATGTATTTTTGTAATTTAATGTAATTTTATTCATTTTTGTATTATTTTATATTTAATGTGGAAAATAAGATACCTGACAAATATCTATTCTTTCAAATTATTATTTGATATTTTGCACATGTTTTAATATTATCATTAAAATCACTACATCACTTTTATTCAAGTATTTCTTAATTTTTCAGCTTGCGACGTATGGAGCGACGTCACGCCGCGAAAATATCGACCACCGCGAATTGGTGATATTCCAAAGTAAGTAAATTTATTTTTTTTATGGATACAGTTAAGTCAAGTAAAAAATAAATAATTTAAAAAACATTACTTTTAATGAGTAATTCTTATAAAGATCATTTTTATCTTAAAAAATTAGAAGTGATAAATTGTAATAAATTTTTATTCAATCTCAAAATATTTCTCAAGGTAATTTAAAAATGTATATATATTTATCATATTATAATAATTATAATATAATAATTGTAATATGATGCAACAGCTTCAAAATTCGATAGATTATATGTATATATTGAAATTCGATAGATATAATAATTATTGCCTTGCTATCAATGCAATTAAAAATGATTAATGCAATTAAAGAAAATGTTCTTTATCTCTCTATAAATAAAATTTGAAAAAACTTGACCCATATAAATTATATTGACTTAACTGTATGTATTACATACACATATATATATACACACACACACTCAATTATTTCCAATTATTATAATAGAAAAAAATCTATTTACATCACGTATTTTCATTTCATTCAGAGTGATTATATAATTACACGATTTATATATATATGATATTATTTTGCAACGTTTACTGCGAATAAATATCTAGCTAATCGACTCGCTTAACTATCTAAAAAAAGTGCCTCCGTTTCAAAAACAGAATAATACGCACATGACGGTGTACTTGCTTACGTAAATGCGCGATATAAATGCATATTTAAGTCAGCATATATACGCAGATATATGCATACGACAGAAGAGAAGATGAACTATGCAGTTTCCGCTTCTATGAAACGATAACATGATGCATATTCCGGAAAGACGGACGCGATTCCGAATGGTCTTCGGAGAAGTAGATGCATGTCGGACAATAGTTTCAATTAATGTCTCGTCGATCAAAACGTTCCATGTACATATTAATTCGTGTCTAGCCCAGTTTCAGTATAAATATGGGTTTAAATAATTCGTTTAAATTCATTTCCACAAGTTTTGAAAAATATATCGTATATTATGTATATTGCTATTAAATAATATTTTCACTTAAAATAATTGATTATTATACAATCAATAGAGAAAAAGTATTAAACTATAAATTTACAAAGCAAGAAACATGTTATGTCTGACGAATAATTTATGTATAATTTTATCATAAGTGAAAAACAGAACTCAGATAAATCAATCTCGATAAATATTAATGGAATGAGACATAACAGAAATCAATCGTAACAATAATATTACAATCGTACAATAATATTTTCAACTCTCCAAGTTTTTACGATGGAGGCAAACACGAAACGTTTTATTTTCGACGATAAACCCATTGATTAAATCCGACCTTCGACACTATCGTCCTGTATAGAGGAGCAAGGGAAAAAAGGAAGTTCAAGGAGGACGGCCTAAACTACCATAATGCATCACGGCATGCGAATAGATATTTTTAACCGCACAGTCGAAGTCGATCGATATGTACCAAGGCGGCTAGAGGTTTGTGTCTAAATAATTGCACCTTTGGCCTCGTTAACGTCAAAGACAGATATCACACTGAGTTCTTTGACTTCCTCTTCGTGTTATTTAATGTTCGTTTTCTTTCATCAAAGAAATCTTTTAATAGATCATTCGATAGTCCCTTCCAGAAAGAAATTTCGAAAATTTACAAGCATCGCAATTTATATCATCACAACATACTAGCAGAAGTAATTCGTGAAAGAAGAATCTTCTTTTAATAAAGTTTCGATACAAAAAAGTTAAGATTACCGAACATAATTCATCAATAAATATTAATTTTTAAAGCTAATGATGATATCGATAAATATCGCTGTCGCACAAAGTATTTACGCGAGCTATAAAAAGAAAGTTAAGCGAAAATTGCGAGAACGGACGATGCAAGATATTTTAAACTCGAGTCGATCGATGGCCAAGCCATTACTGCTTAAATTATTGAATCTTGCGGGACTAACCGATACGAGAGAGTAGCGATGCGAGCTCAACGATGATCGACTAACTTTTTCCCGAGAAAGAATTCGCCTCATATTTTTTCCCATTTTTTTCTCTCTTTTTTTATTATCACTTGTCGTTCTCTATTACTTGTCGGAATCACGTTTATTTCATCGCAACATAAAAACGATGACAATGCATCGAGCAATGCTAGACTACAGCCTCGATAGCGCGCGACATTCTGAATATCTCTATTGTTTGAGATAAAACGATCACGAAACCTCGGACAACTGTGTCAATGTCGAATTTCATCGATAGAAGTTTCATAACATTTATATTTTATATGTATCACTCGTCATAATAACTGATATTGTTGGTATATCACATGCATTATGCTGTCTATGCTATTGAATTTATATATATATATATATATATATATATATATATATATGTATATAAATTGATATATTCTGCAACGTAAGTATTTTAAATGACTTCAAATGTGAATATCTTCAAAGAAATTTAAATTATTATAATTAATTATAAATTAATATGATTTAAATTATAAATTATAAATTAATATAATTTAAAATTCTTTGAAGATATTCACATTTGAAGTCATTTAAAATACTTTCGTTGCAGAATATCAATTTTCGAAGGATTAATGACTCTTTTTATATTTTTATAATTTTTTTAACAATATCAGATAAAAAAATATGTCTATATTCAATTTACTAACTAACTAAAATTTCGAGATACGTCTTCGTATTATACTATACATTATGCAATACATTATAGGAAATATATAAATTATTTGCATACTAAATTCCAACCTATAATATTTTTACAAGAAAGTAAAAGAGAGAGAGAGAGAGAGAGAGAAAGAGAAAGAGAAAGAGAGACATATTCAAAATCTCTTATTGTATATATATAGGGAAATTAAAGTGCAAACACACACACACACACACACACACACAACAATTTATTTTCTTCCAGAATCTCGGATCACAATATCTCAGCAGTTCTACAGTACGACATTATTGATACTCCATTTTCCACAAGAATCGTAACGGGACATCATAAAACGTATTCACGCTTATGTCACCACATATGTCGATAATAATTTCCCCCTTTCTTCCTATGTAACTATAAAAGCTTCTATTTTTAACACGCATAAAGATATTCTTATATTCTTTCATAAATGTATTCTTTTGAAAATAATTAAATTTTGTAATTTGACTTATGCCACAACAAATTTATATATATACATATATAAATACATATATAAATACATATATACATATATATATATTTTTTATGTGCAAATTACATATAAATTATATATATAATTATATATAAAAAAAAATTATATATAAAAAAGAGAGAAAAAAATTAATTTTTGCACAAAATATATATATATATATTTTTTTTTTGCAAATTATATAATTATACATAGTTACATGAATATATAAATGTCATATTATTCACGGTTTACAATCTATTGTTAATAAAATATATAATTGATTCTCAAAAATCCGTAAAATAATCATTAAAAAATAATTATTTAAATTCGTTTCGATCTACAATCTCGTTGAGATGCATCCTTACATTGAAGTATATATCATTTCGTACTTCAGCCTTTATAAAGTAGCAAATACATGTCTTATATATAAATGACATTCAATGTCATTCACATATGATGTTCTATCGTTCTCTCTTTCATTTTTTTTCGAGAAATATAATTTCATTCTAAGAAAGAAACATCTCGCAATCAATTTCGACAGTTTGACAAGCGTGAGAGATAAAAAGATTGAAAAAAGACTAGGAAAAAGGATAGAAAATTGACGAAATATACGACAAATACGGGAGAAGAAAAATGCACGAGAGTTAACCGCGTACGCAGAAAGTCGTCAGTCCCTGCTCCGTTGAGCTTACATTTGGTTCGTGGAGCTTTCGGTTCGTTGGAGCGCATCAAAGCGAGCTTTTCAGCTACGAATGAATCCTCCTACGTCCGACGCATATGGCCGTAATGCGCAGACATCGCCGAGTTTTCGTCCACTATTTTTCGAATAAATCAAAACGACACCGAAAATAACTCATTGTTATTTCCGATATCCGGTAACCTTAAATGAACCGTTTCTATCGGCGAATTTTCGCATCTATATCTCGCAGCTTTGCATATGTAGAATGTATAAAGTTTCTTTAATGTGATCACTATACCAAATATGTAATGGGATTGAATCAATGTTTTTGTAATATTTTGTTAATTTTTTATATCATTTATGAAAATTTATAAATTTATTAAAAGTTTTTCAACATCTTTGCTAAGAAATTTGTCTACTTACATCTCAAGCAGATTGTTTCAAAACGCTAAAGGCGATTGGAGCAAACTTCCGCGTGAACCTTACTAGAATGTAGTGACTTGAAAATATACTTTAGCAAATGGAGCGTCGCTTCATACATCAACGCGCAATCTGAGAGATTCAAAGATCGCAATTTGTGTGGAATTTATTCGAGAACTTCGCATTTTCCTCAAAGAACGCTTTCCAATGGAAATTGATCCAGTCGATATCTGATTTCTCCTAGCATGAATAGACTTGGTATACGATTTCAAAAATTCCTTGCATTCCTCCTGAGTTTGTCCATATAATTCAATATCATTACAAAAGGTTTATGTAAAAAGCTGACAATTTCGCATTATGTGGAGAATAAGAATGAAAAACACGGACACACAATTTAATGTTTGCAGATTAATATTTGCACATGAAAAATTTTTCTTTGAAAAAAATCTTATTATTAATTCGTTCGAATATAAGCAGCTATGGCTAAGGAATTAATAAAGCATTTTAAATAAAATGAAATCTTCTAAATATTCTTTATCAGCAATCATGTTAAAATTAAAAATGCTCTGTACTTTTTGATAAACTGATAATTTAATAGGCATATTAATGTTTCTTTTTATTATCGATTAATGTTTCTTTTTATTATCCCTTTATTTCTTGGTAAGAAAAATACGCTTCAAAATTGACTGAATAATTCCTCAATTTACTATAAAGAATCACAAAGGATCCTTTGCAAGACTAT